TACAATTAAATGTACGTATATATCCTTTAGTTTGTTTCTAATGTAACGTAAACTATAATAAAATCTGGATAATTATTAGTTTTCTTGTTATCATTCATAACATATTTTCAAATGTGGTCATGCGCCGTTCCCGCTCTTCTTCGCGCCTGCAGCACACCGGAAATTGTCGTCGCCCCATTTCCCCCTGGTGACAGTCACTTCCGTATGATTGCATTAAGCAACACGCCGCTGCGCGACACACTCACGTACACACACTAAAGTCCAAACCGCGTTTAAAAACCGGATTTATCGCACCGAAATGCATATCAAAACAGGTGAGGGGTGGTATGAAGATATATTTTGCTCGATTTGGTTGTTTAATGGAGAGAGTGTTTTGTTATGTAAAGTTGTTTGTGCTCGAGTGGGACAGAATGAGACTTATGAAACTTTTGATTCTCGATCTTTCTGATGTCACAATCATCATTCTTTGGTATCGTTTATATTTTTAATGATCTGAAATTACAAGCAGTGGCTCTTATGTAATCCGACGTGTTGAGTTTGTTCTGCGGACCGGCGTGAAGGCGGTTGTTATGGGCGCTAAACATCCAAACACAAGCGGCCTGCTGTTAGCGTTAGCAATCTCCACACGATTAAACCTCCTTTAAATGTCGTTAATGATATTTTGACTCATATTTAACGATATAATAATGGCTTAGAATTACAAATACATTTATTTTGTTCATTTAGACTATATAAAATGCGTGCTAGTATCTACGTTTTGTGTCGTTTCCAGACTGGTGTAAACTGCGTGAATATTAGACGGCGCTGAAATCAGTGATCTATAATGAGATGTTAATAAATTTTGTTTGAGTAGGACATTTTTTTTTTTCAGATCCGTCTTAGTTTCTGCCGTTAGGCCTCTGAGACTGCAGATGTGAATGAGGCGCAGACTAGAAATTTCCAGTTACATCTTGCTATGGCTCATTGACTCGTTGCTTTGCTTGGGGCATTTGTATGCATTCCCGTGTGTATACGTGTTTTTATATATATATATATATATATTTCTGTCTATCTAGTGGCTGGCTAGGCAAGAATTATCATTAGATGACATTAAAATACTTTTTTTTTTAAGGATCACAATGCGCCCTCAAAATACTAATGAATTGTCATTGTAATTCTTTACCAATCTTTGCCACTATCTTTCAAACCACTAGGCTTTACCCATTTGTCAGCAAGACGTTTTAAAAAATGTAAAATATAATGAAATTTAGTATGATCACTTTTTCTTTTATATGTATTAATAAGTACAGGTCAGAATATGTATTAATAAGTACAGGTCAGAATAAGCATGTCGTTTCATTTTTACATAAATATATTTGTTACACTGAATGGCGGTGGTACATTTATTTCACCAATGTCTTGACATTTTATTTTCACAAAGGTTATTTGAAACTTTAAAGCAGACACTTAACTTGCATTTAATGTGCTTTCTGTGTATATAAAATCACTCGGGCAGTGCTTTTATTCAGAAAGTTCTATAATGGATGTTTTTTTTTAATTTCACCAGGAATAATCTTAAAAATAAAATCACTTCTATAAATTTAATTTGATGCAAACACCAAAATGTGAATAAGGCAGCAGGGGGAAATAGTTAAGAGATTTAATATGATTGAGATTGCATTAGAGAAACATGATTTGGGACAATCAAACATGTTTCTTAACAGTTTATGTGTTTTATGATTTAAAAATGACATCTGATTCTTTTTTTTTTAGGTACTTGGGAGTCAAGCAATGCAGCGTGCGAGTCCGACCCCTTGTGTGATCCTGCTGTCTTAGTGTCACCCCCTAAACCAGAACCACAGATCCGAAACCGTCGCCTCTCCCCCGGCTCTGGCAGCTGTGGTGGGGGAGGAGGGGGCTGTTTCTCTGGGATGGATAAACGTCAAGCCTCACCGAGTAGCCTGGAAGGTTCTCTGAATGGGGTGGGTCACACCCAGACCTTTACGTCGAGAGAGCGGCACATCCAGAATAAGTCAAGAAGCTTTCGGCGTGATGGCCCGAGAGCGGGCCCACGTTCAGATGAGAGACACTCCAGAACCGGTCAGAAGGAACGATGGGTAGACAACAGCCTGTCTTTACTCAAACCTCCACCTGCTTTCCCAGTGAAAGACAGCCCTGCCAAGCTGCAGCCGGCCGTCAGCTATGCCTCCAAAGTGAAAGCAGGAGGAGGTTCTGTTGGGGCAGCTGAAGAGCCCCCTGGTATCGGGGTTTTGCTGCAGAACCAGTGGGGACTCAGCTTCATCAGTGACAGCCCGGAGGCAGATGTTCCCCAGGAGAAGAGTCCAGTTCTCCACCCAGTTGCTGGCGAGGTTACTGTAAAACTGGCCCATGTCTCTTCAGAGTCTCTGCCCGGTCAGGTCACGAGAGGCTCAGAGAGTTCAGAGGAGCTGCTGCTTAGCTGTCGCCACCTGGAGGAAGCATTGGATTATCACACACAAGGTAAGGCGATGTAGTTAAGGTTGCAAAAGGCATTCTGTTTTATCTCTCTTATCTCACTGTAATTGTTTTTGATCCGCAGAATGGAAAGCAATATTATGGAGACAAAAACAAGGTTGGTGTCTGTCTGTTTTTATTACTCTCCATTAGGGCTGCATGATATTTCAAAATGAAATCGATATGGCGATTGTCAAATCACGGAGACTGCATTTTAATTAAATACATGCACTGCCGGCTCCAGAGTGGCACTGCCCATGATGCAGTGCTTCAGCATCTCAGGCTCTATTAATTTACTGTGAATCGAGCTGATATGAGACACACAAAACTCCAGACTACGAGCTGCCCCCATGCCAAGGAACACAGTGCTGAGTTTCATTCTGAAACCTGGCAGAATATGGATCTGTTTTCTGGCAACCTGTCAAAATAAAAGCTTGGTGGTTTAATTTTTGAAAATGAAGGAATTAATACTTAAATATTAGTGTTGTAATTTTACATTTTTTCTTAAATACAAAATTTTTACATTAAGAATTTAATATTAGTGCATTTATAGTTTAATATTTCATAATCACAATAAAATCTAAATTTCTTTAAAATATTTTTATTTTATTTTTTTATTTTTACATTTTTATTAAATACTCTATTTTAACATTGCAATATTACAATACATTTCTTAATTTGTTTAATTTAAAAATAATCACAGTTTACTCTATTGAAAGAGGTTTGAGTTAGTTCTTATAAAGAATAAACAAGTGTGAACAAAAAAAATCCCAAATTCAGGTCTAAAAGGATCTTCGTTTTATTTTGCATCTCACAACAAAATCGCCTCACTTATTCTGTAATGATTAATTCTTTCCAAATATTCAAGTCATCTGGTGAACTTTCCTGTATTTTTTCATATCGTCTACTAAACTAAATATCACAGTGTTGGTTTTCTTCCAATATCATGTAGCCCTAATATCCATAAAACGAGCAGAATTACTATTTTTAGACCATTTTAACTATTTTAACAAGCTTGCTTTGTTTTTCAGACCCTGCAAAGATTGTATGGTACAAGAACGCCCTGGAGTCGCCCGCCTAGCACACACACACACACACCCCGCACTCAGGTTCTTATCCCCTCAACATTTCTACCGAGACACTTTGGACTTGTTCCCCTTTGAAGATAGATGTCTTGGACTTCTCGGTTGCCTTACAACAGAGTCTGCCTCAGGCGCAGAGTCCCTCTGCATACCTCTGTCATTTTAATGGTGGAGAATCGTCTCTTTTAAAGAAAAAAAACTGCAATTTTATTTGTGAAATGCAGTTTTACAGTTAAAAAAAATCTTTTATTCCTCCCTTGTTCCTACTTGTGTGTCAGTGGTTAAGTCAAGCACTTTCTGACCTGTAGTTGAACACATCATCCCTTTCTCTAAAGACTGAGCTCGTTTTTAGAACCAAATCCAGAATGTCTTCATCAGTCTTCCCTCCTGTGATCATCCCTTTCATGCCACATAAATTGTTCTCATGAAGTTTACAGAGGTGCCATTGGCACGTTATGGCAGCACCTTCAAATGTCTATTGGTCTTAATGCTGTTTTTTTAATATATATATTTCACCCAGATTCAATGTCGGTCATAAATCCTAATAGGAATTTGTTGCTGTGTATGACCTAATTTTTTTTTTTTTTTCGGAAACATACAAATAATTTACACTGGAAGATTTTCAGAGATTTAATCAAACAGTGTTGCATAATAAAAATGAATAAACTTGTTAAAATATTTCATGGTCTTTTGGTTTTTGTATAAATCTATAGGAAATAAAAATGTGGATATTTAGTATTTCAGTAATCGATCTTTCATCCATTTTCCAAATCACTTTTTCTATGTAGAGTCAGGGTGTTTGTTACATACCTAAAAATCTGTTGTCTTGAATAATCTTGCTGATTTACCACCAGTATTTAATTTCAAAGCTGCCATGTTGTCCATCAGTCTAAAATTGAAAGGTATAGTTCACCCCCCAAAAAAATGCTGAAAATTTACTTCACCTTCAGGCAATCCAGGATGTAGATGAGGTTTTTTTTTTTTTGTGGGAACCGATTTGGAGAAATTTAGCATTACATCACTTGCTCATCAATGGATCCTCTGCAGTGAATGGGTGCCGTCAGAGTCCAAATAGTTGATAAAAACATCACAAGTAATCCACACCACTTCAGTCCATCAATTAACATCAGTCAAGATTTTTTTTTATCAGCTGTGAAGTTTTTATCAGCTGTTTGGTCTCTCATTCTGACGGCACCCATTCACTGCAGAGGATCCACTGATGAGCAAGTGATGTAATGCTACATTTCTACAAATCTGTTCCCACAAAGAAACAAACTCATCTACATCCTGGACGGCCTGAGGGTAAGTATGTTGTTTTTAGCAAATTTAAATTTTTGGATGAACTGTTCCTTTAGTGATGCATAATGTGATTGTGAGTTTAATACTGCTTTTATTTAGCACTTCACCACATCATAAGTAATCAAATTATTTGAGGCTTTAGGTCAATAGGTATTTTTATTCAGTGTTTTTACAAAAATATTAGACAATTCTGCCTTTAACTGGGATATGAAACTACTTCTGTCCCTGATGTAAAACTGAATATTTCATGAGGTTGTATAATGTGATCAAGGAGTACAACTTGACATTTAGTGCCACTGAAATTCCTTAATAACCAGATCTAAACATCAGTCCCGCCATGTGACCTCCACTTCATCTGTTCTGTACCTGAAAAACACAATAGACCATTAATGAATGATCATGTCACAGCTAAACAAGAAAAACAACTCTTATCTCGGGTCTATATTTAATCACGGCATGCAATAAAAAATCAGCAGGCTAATGATAAAACAGCATTGTTAACTGTGAAAGGAATTTGCACAAAGCAAAGTGTTTTATTAAAGGAATAGATCATCTAAAAATGAAAGCAGCCCAAAACTGTCCGAAATATTTAGGAGGATTTTGATGTGAGAGGACAACAGGGGATGGACTTTTTCACTGGAGGAAACATTATTATTGATTATGGACTACAGAAGTGACAGTTTAAAGTTAAAATGCCTTAATAATGGATTTGTTTCTTACATACACACAACTTTTCTCTTCCCGAGATGTTAACTGATGGACTGGAGTGGTGTGGATTAATTGTGGATTATTGTGATGTTTTTATCAGCTGTTTGAATCGGCTTTATTCGCCAAGTGTGTGCAAACACACAATTAATTTGTTGTGGTTTTTTAGGAGCTCTTACTTACATACATACATACAGTATATGACATTAGAACAAAAAGAACAATTAAATAAGACTAAAGAAAAAAACAAAAAAAATATAATAATAATGTGGTAAAATCTGGAACAGAAGATTTATGTACAGATTTGTGCATTATTTAATGTACAGTTGTATAAATAAAAATATGCATATGTATTTACATAATTTCAATTGCTAGAAATGGAGAAATGAATTACAGAAAACAGGTTATCATTTCTGTGTTAGCTGTTTAAGATGGAGATGGCATGGGGGGAAAAACTGTTTTTATGCCTAGATTTTCTAGTGCACAGAGATCTCTCATTCTAACGGCACCCATTCACTGCAGATGATCTATTGGTGAGCAAGTCATGTAATGGTAAATTTCTTCAAATCTGTTCCGATTAAGAAACAAACTCATCTTGGATGGCCTGAGGGTGAGTACATTTTCAGCAAATGTTAATTTTGGGGTGAACTATTCCTTTAACAACATGTTTGTAGCTTCTTGCTGTGTGATACTGATGTTTTTGATGGCTATTTGTGAAGTTGGTTTACCTTTGTGTAATCCAGGAGTCTGAAAGCTCTGTGACGTGACCCGAGCGGAACATTTCCCATCCGGCCTGTGCAATCATTGCTCCATTGTCTATACAAAAGCTACAATATCACATGAAGAGATTAAAAACCATTGACACTGGCTGTCATGAGTTCTTTCAGCAGTTGTCTTTCTCACCTCTCATCTGTGGCAAAAAGTCGTGCACCTCTCTCCTTACACATGACCCCCATCATCTCCTGCAGACGCAGGTTACCTACAAAAGAGCGCACATTTAGACACTCACACAAACTGCAATACAGAGACCCAGTTTTTGCTATGAGACGAATGTAAACAAATGAGCATAAAAACCCTTACAGCCGACTCCACCGACGATCAGAACCTCCTGAGAGCCGCAGTGAGCCATGGCTCTTTCTGTGATCTCCACCAGCATAGCGAACACAGTCTCCTGTCAATCACGTGTTATTTTTAGTCACTTTTCACAATCACAAATTAATGTTTCTTATTGGAAGCATAGTAAGCACAGGTTCAAGTACGTACTTGTAGAGAGAAACACAAATCCTCAGGCGTACATTGACTTGTACTCAACAGTTTGTGAGCAGCGTCCTGTATGTGAACGTAATTATTACAATTTAAAGAAGTATAAACATAATTTAAAGACATATGCATCTCCCAGTCATTCATCTCACCTCTATATAGGACAAAATCCCAGAAAATGACACATCCATACCCTTCACTGTATACGGCAGCTCTATATACTTGGTGCCTCTGAAAAATGAATATATATATTAACATATGTCAAACAAGCGCTTTTACTCAAATTAGATATTTAAAATGTTAAAGTGCATGGAAACTCACTTCTTTGCCATCTGTTCAATGTTGTAACCAGGACTGGGATCATTTGATATCTGTGAATACAGGTAAAAAATGTAATCTTAAAATTACATAAAAACTTTTAGACAAATCCTCCACAGAAAAAACTACGGAAACATACAAGGCTATTAACCAAATAATGACCTTGATGACCCTTGCAAACCGGTCCAGGCAGTTTCCCACAGCAATATCAATAGTTTCTCCAAATATTCTGTAACGTCGTTCAGAATATGCAATAACCTGTAGAAACAATATAGAGAATTCATGTTCATTTATGTTAAAAGAAATGTGAGAAGGCCAGTATAATTATTTCAAGGATATTGATATGTCTGCTCTTGATCATAGTAGACTAATTTTGAAAAACAAAATTAGATCGAAATGTTATTTAATCTTCACTCTTCAATTCTTACCTGAGTATTTCCTCCGCTCACATACAGCACAGTGGGGTTTTGGGAGTTGGTGATCAAACGGCCCATCTCTATGTGTCCAATACAGTGGTTTACCCCCAACAATGGCTTTCCCCACAACTGGGCGACTGTCCTGGCCACAATCGCTACTGTTACCAGAGGAGCTCCCATTCCAGGCCCTGTACAACAGGAGATAACTGATAAATGGAGTAGTGTGGAAAAATGTACAGTGTATTAAAGGCAAGTAATAAATATTCACCTTTAGTGTATGCCACACAGTCAATATCTGCAGCTTTCAGCCCTGCTTCATCTAGTGCCTCCTGGAGCACAGTGAGAATCACACTACGATGGTGTTTGGCTGTCTCACCAGGTAGGAACCCTGAGAAGATCATGAGAGAGCAATATAAAAATAGTACTATGAAAGCATGGTGACTTTTTATATGTAAAGATGACACTGTCCATTAGAAGTAATGATAGATCAGATGAGCTCACCTTGGCCAGGTGGGGTGATGTAAGTGCGCCTGGGGTTTGACAGAACTTGCCCATCTCTGATGATACCCACACCAATTTTATTAGCACTGCCCTCAAATCCAATCACCACAGTCATGGTTTCTGCCGGGAGAATGAAACAGGAACCATTTGATGACAATACACAAAATACTGCAACAGAATTACACAATGTCTACCATTTTCCATGTTAATACATTATGAGATTAAAATGTCAAATGTCAAGTTTCATTTTACAATTAAATGAAAATAAATCTATTATGTCTGGCTGTCAAGAGATCTGCGACACATGCTGCTGGTTTAAACAACCTGATCATTAATAACATTTATAGATTAAATTATTAAATAGTCGTGTGGGATTGTCATGTTTTGGGTTAATTATAATAATATATTTGATATAATATATATTGTAAATATATATTTTTGTCTTGTTTTATCTCTTATTTTCCGCTGCTTCTCCACTCTTACCACACACTCGCTGGTTGTAGGACCATAACCACAGTTTATGTGGCTTTTACTAAATGCCTGGATGAAATTGATGGGATTATTCGTGTTAACAAATTGTTAAAGTTATAGAAATATATTTTAAAGTTAATATCTGACAATAATTTGATATACAAATGATAATTTGTTTTAATAAAAACGTTTTTAAACACCACGTTTAGTCAGGCAATAACTCGGACACCTCTTAATGGGGAAATATGCGCCTCATGCACACTCACTGCAGCTTCGGCTTCCGTCAGTGCAGGGCAGTTCATAGTTGTGCACAGATTGAGGTTTCACCATAAACTCAGCTAACGTGTTAGGTAAGAAAGAGCTGTTTGTATATAATAAAATGCATATTGTGCAAATTTCTATCTAATGAGTTTTCAACGCGGTCAATACAAATTTGTCTTTTATAAACGCAGAGCATGCGAGCCATTTGTTCTATTGTTTCATTCATTCAGGCCGCACTTTTGGACAACTTACAGACTTGGTTAACATATACATTTATTATTCCTGCATACTGCAAGCACATGCGTTTTGGTTTATACAGTTCACGCATTTTATGTAAGTGATTTAATCATTTGTGTGCGAGCTAAATAAGTTAAACAGCCTTTGTTGTGAGATGTTTGCAGCGCCCGAAGCATTGAACATTCACACATTCCATTGCGCATGTCCTCTCTTGTAGGTGTTCGTGTGTGTGCTGTCAGTTTCTTACGTGTGTGTGGTCTTAAAACAACTGTAAGCATGCCTCCAACATGAAGATCACCTCCTGGAATGTGGACGGTCTTCGCGCATGGGTCAAAAAGAAGAGCCTTGATGTGAGAATTCAACATACAATACATCGATTGTGTTTTACATGTACTGCATGGTCCTTCTTGAACAGTTTGACCAGTCTCTGTCTTTATTTAGTATTTATGTGTGGGTCAGATTGGTAGAGGTACGACCCCTTTTCCACTCTTTTGTTGTTGTCTGCTCGCAGTGGGTGCGTAAGGAGGATCCAGACGTGCTTTGTCTGCAGGAAACAAAGTGTGCTGAGAAAGCCCTGCCATCTGATATCACTGACATGCCTGAGTATCCGCACAAGTACTGGGCTGGATCAGAGCATAAGGAAGGTTACAGCGGAGTGGCCATGCTCTGCAAGACTGAACCGCTCAATGTCACCTACGGTATTGGTAAGTGTATTTATACAGATTTCAATATTGTATGACCCATGTGAATTGCATATTCTCCATGGTTGTGAGATTGTTTTGCTTATAGTGTGCGTTTGAAAACACAATGCACACAACCATCTTTCCAAATTTGTAATGAGAATTGTTCATAAATCTTTTGACAGCAGGTCTCCCTAAAATAAAAGCACTATGGTTTAATGTTTTAAATGTTTGATTATTATTTTTTATCATTTAATTTAATTATAATAATCTTATTGATATTATTATTACTAGTAGTAGTAAATACTTGTTTTATTTTACAGTACAATAGTAGTATTGCAAGTCATGTATTTCTTTGATTTCATTCTTGTAATTTAAATATTAATAACAGCAGTAGTAGCAATACAATAATAATAGTAGCAGTAGTAGTATTAAATTACTTTTTGTGATAGTAGTGTATTCCTTTTTTGATTTAATTCTTAATTTAAATACTACTACTGCTAATAATAATGTTATTATTATAATATGGCCATATTGAATGGGGAGAAAAAAATTTTTCTTTCTGTAATGTTTATCAGTTATTATTATTGTTATTATTTTTTTTATTTTACAGTACAATAGTAATATTTCTTCATTGATTTAATTCTTATTTAAATAATATTTTTGTTATTATTAGTCATATTGAATTGATTTGTTCTGTTCATCAGTTGCTGTTCTTTTTTTATGGACACGCACCGCAATAAAAATATAAAACATGAAAATATATTTGATTTTAAATGTCATCTAATTTTTTCCCCTCTGTCCAAAATCCAAATCTTGGAATTTTCTGGAAGTTTAAAATCTCTGTCTGCTTCAATATAGGTAAAGAGGAACATGATAAAGAGGGCCGAGTTATCACTGCTGAGTTTCCGTCTTTCTTCCTGGTCACGGCATATGTGCCCAATGCCAGCCGTGGTCTGGTGCGGCTCGACTACCGCAAGACCTGGGATGTGGATTTCCGTGCCTACCTGAGCGACTTGGACAAGCGCAAGTCCCTGGTGCTGTGTGGAGATCTGAATGTGGCCCACCAAGAGATTGATCTCAAAAACCCCAAGGGTAACCGCAAGAACGCAGGCTTCACCCCCGAGGAACGTGAGGGCTTCACCGAACTTCTCGAGGCCGGTTTTACCGACAGTTTTCGGGAGCTGTATCCAGAACAAGCCAATGCCTACACCTTCTGGACCTACATGATGAACGCACGAGCCAAAAACGTCGGCTGGCGTTTAGACTACTTTTTGCTGTCGTCTGCCTTACTCCCGGGTCTGTGTGACAGCAAGATCCGAAATACGGCCATGGGAAGTGACCACTGTCCTATTACCCTGTATTTGGCCATGTAGATCAGGTTTCAACCTTTTCAGTTCCATATATATCTGCATAGACACAGAAGGGTCTAGTCCTGTTAGTCCTAGATTAGTATTTCCTCTCTATAAACCAAATAGAGGTCCACATATAGGAATATGTGTGGTGCAGACACGTATTGAAAGAAATTGTAGTTAAGTTGTTTTGTAGTTTTGCTGCTTTGGTTAAGTCTGCTGTTATTGGTCACCTGAAATCAGGTTTTGACACTAAAATATCACAAAAAAATCATTAATTTGAGCTCTCATCCCATTTTATATTTGCAGTGTTTAAAAAAATAGCAGACTGTTATCTAAATGACAAACCCTGCCAAACTACTATACTAAACATTGTCTCAGTGTTGATTATAGCTAAATGTTTTGAAGCTTGTAAAATACCTTGACCTGCAAAGATATATGATGTGTCTGATTTGAAGTTATAGTTCTTTGGATTTTGTCTTTGGTGCTATTTTAACCTTTGGATTCTACAGTACTCTCGATTTAATGATGTTAGTGGTAGTTAAATGTTACATATGCCACATATTAGTTTCAAAAGACCAATGATTGTGCTTATTTGCTTTTTTCCCATTGTCTGCCTACCTGTAGCCATTTTTCAGGTTTTGAAATAAAGTAGTTTATAAAAAAAGAAGTAACTTAGCTCTGGCCTTTTTTAAATTTTTTTATTTATTTTTTACACCATATAATTCTTAGTAACAAACATGTTTTAAGTATATACAATGGTTAAATTATTAATGTACAAATGAAAATGAAGCTGACTTATGTTTTTATATATATTAAATGCTTTTGTACACATTTTAAAAGAAGCCGGTGAAAAACAGTTTCGTCTAACCTGATACTATTGTCCAAACTGCTCATAAGAAGTACGAAAATGCTAGACAATAATCTTTTAATTGCATTTATTTTACATTTAAATAAGTATTTCAATTGCAGACAGCGAAATTTTAATGATATGGCGAAGACTCATGAGCGTCATTTACGTAACGCGACGTTCGCCAATGGCAGGCGTTGGTATGGTGAGTTATGAATATTAATAAGAACACGTGATCGAAACTCCCGGAAGGTTACCAAAGCAACGTTGACATTCATTAATTAAATATTCATGAGCTAAAACCACGGCCACATCCTTCATAATAAAAGTCGACTCAATTTGACCAATTTCTAAAACATGAGCATAAATCCATAATTGTGTCTGGATCTCCTGCCCCAGACCAGTCTAGATTAAACCACATTAACAGTAAAACGCATATAAAACAACAGCGAACGGAAAGAATGGTTTGGGAGCTGAGTTTGCGAGATGGTCTCGCTAAACTAGTATAATGTGGTTTTGCACCACCAGAGGGAGAACTCGAATTACACTGTAGACCAGACCAAAGCGGATTAGACCGGAATGTGGGTCATTCAGTCCAGTGTTTTGAAACGTAGGAAATGGTCAAGTGGAAAGCGCATCGAAATTAAAAAGTGTCCCTAATAGCGCTTTTCTTCTGAATTATGACTCACACAGCTGTTGAAAATATTAATTTCGAGATTGTTTAAACTTGAAGTTGTAAACAATGGAAGCGCTTTGGACCAAGAAAATCGAAGGTGAGTAATTTGTTTTTCCTGTCTGTTTTCCCCTTTTTGTAAAATACAACACAACAAATCAGCATGTTAAAGTGTAAGCAATTTAATGAATTCAAGTAATTTTAATTTGCACGATTATCACGTAACTTCCTTTTAAATGAAAGCACATCTGATGTTCTAATAATGTATTTTGATTCATTTAAATTTTAAGGATTTTCAAAACAAAATGCAATTACAAGATATGCAATTACAAGATATTTAAATCCAGACTATAAGGTCAAAGCTGTTTAATATGAAAAGCATATGCTGCCTCTCATTGCATGTGTTTCCTATTTGTCTTGTTTTTAATTATCAGACCCTCTTTCATTGATGAGTTTCATCATTCCACCATCAAGGTTACTGTCTGCAGCCATGTGGCAGGTGACTGAACAGAGACAGGTAAAGCACTATGGGATGCTGGAGGAGTTTGTAACCTTGGTGACAGAGACTCTGCCAGAGCTTCTGAATTACAATCAAAGAACTCAGCTGATATTTGGCTTAAGAGCAAGGGTAAGAAACATCACGGTACATGAAAACAGCTAATATTTAGGAACCACCATGTTAAAGATTGGGCTTTCCACAAGATTGTCGGTTTCGGTATTATATCGCTTTATTTTTCACAGCGTCTTTTGGAGTTGTGTCGTGGTAAATATCAGGTTGACCTGGAAGATATTCAGCCTCACCTGGATCGAATCCATGCTCCTCGTGTCATCAGTGCAATCAATGAGGTCAAGTCATGTTTAGAACCCATTTGGAGGTTTTTGAAACATCACATTTGTGCTTGAATTAAAATGTAAGCACATATTTAATAGACTTTATACATTACAGGTGGTTGATGAAGACATGGAGGAATCTGAGGCCTGTTTCTTGGACCTCATTCGGACCCTTATTAGCAACCCTGAAGAGAGAGAGAATTTCTTCCAGGTTAC